AGCCAACCAAATTTAATTACAATACAAGGTATACACATTAGTTTATATTATAATTAATGATTGTAGTTGATTTGGCATTAGTTAATAAAATCAACTTAGCCAAATAAGTTAGCCAATTATTGATTAGGCATATAGGAAGTGTCAGAACATAACTTTATAATAATGTGTTGACAAAAAATTGGGGCATATTATTTTATTTTGACTTTTAGTTTATTTATAGTTTTTATTTATTTATTTATTTTTATTTTTTATTTATTTTTTTATTCAATTGTGGAAATTTCGTGAAGTATCATTCAGCTGCTAAAATTATTGAAGTTGGTCGAATTAGATCTTTCGTTAGTGTAGATAAAAAAATAAAGACTCAAATTTAATGATTAATTATACCCAAAAAAAATTGTTTATATATATTTTTAACCAATTAGAATTCATTACATAAAAATTATCTAATTATATTTATTATATAATCACAAAATTGGGCATTCTTAAAAAAAATTGAATACTTCTTGCTGTTTAGTACTATACTTAATTCGATCTATATCATTTGATAAAATTTTGGTCAAATTTGCAAAATCATTTGGTCGGATCTACAATTTTAAATCAGGTCAAATGATCTGTATTTTGATCAAGTGATGCAGAACCTTGTTTTGTCCAATCAAAATTCAATTTTGGTTACGTCAAAACAATCTAACTCTGGTCAAATTTGCAAATAATTTGGCCTGATTGATCTGCAATTTGACCAGAATTAAATGTTGACAAAAATATAAACCAATACATAATTATTTTATAGCCTATTTGGTTAGAATAAATAAATGAAAAAATAATTTATCGGCTATAACCAGTTATTTAGTCGTATGAACGACCGCGGCTTAGTTGACTATGAACGACTAGCCAATAATAACCGACCAAACCCATCCCCAGTCGATTATTAGCCGTAGTAGATATTTAGCCGACCCGACTTAGCTAACTGGCTAAAATTGTAGTTGATTCCAGATTATTAATGTCATGGCCAATAAAAATGACAATTTATACTTAATTCGACATGAATCTAGTGAATAGCCTCAATCATATAACCCACGATCATTAATAGATTAGGCTTGCTGATCGAGCACGACGTTATGGGCTCGATCAAAAGTGAGTCAATCAATAATCAATTATGTTGATCGATCAAATGGTTAAAATTTGATCGATCAAGAAAATTTATACAGTAAAAAAATTATAAAGGATCGTTATGGTAAAGATTGTACCCGTATATGATCTACGTATTAACTGGATCATGACTATTACCACTCGGGTGACTCGGGCTACTTAAGTCATTAAAGTAACTCGGGTTGTTTTTATAACGGATGGAGTGCGGGTCAATCTCTAGGTAGATATAATATAATCGATCAATGATTAATCTAATAATTGATTGATTATGTATGCTTGAGCTTATAATTTCCATGCTTGATCGATCAAGATTATATGATTGATTTTTGATCGATTAAAAAAAATTTTTTTTGATCAATCATCGAATCATATGATGAAAGTTTCGCCTAACAACTATATCTAATTGTCGACTTGGATTTTATATCTAAATGCATAAAAATTGCTATTTGTAATTGCAATTATATTTACAATTTGGAATAGCAATCGTAATACATGTCTTGGTTATAATGACATCTGGCATCGACATTTTTTTAGATTTTGGTTCTAAATACTAAATGTGAAATTAACTCTGATTAAACAGACGTCTGGATAAATCGGATGATTTCTTTGTTATTGAAAGCGTTAGTATAAAACAGCAGTGACGTGAGTAATAACGCTAGCAATTTCAAAAATATCTTTAAACGTCAGATGAAAATTTCTTTAGAATTATAAAGAAATATTGATTGTGAATCATTGCACTAACCCTAGAAAAAACTGCACGGTCTAATTTGATACAACCAAGTTCGCATGTAAATAATAAATCTTTATTTTGCAAACTTTTATTAGAATAAATGTTATAAAAAAAGTATACACTAATCAATTTTTATTGAGTTTATCGTCAATTATTATCTCTGTAATTTCATCATTACTAGAGTTATTACCTTCTCTGTTATTATGGCTATTAGAATTTTTTTTATGCATCAAATCAAGTAAATAGTATAATATTATAATGATCAAATCCAACGTGAATATAGTAAGATAACATGTTGCAGCAAAAGCATCAAATGGAGGCGGGCAAAAAGCTAAAAAGAATGTTAATAAAGGCTGAATTTGATTATAGAATTTTAAAAGTTGTAAATCTATTCACCTAAACTTAATGCAGAAAGAGCAGCTCCAAGCATGTCGATTGCTAAAAATATCAATGAAATGCCGCATACAATTTTTCTACCTACAAAGAAAGTACGTACGTACGAAATAAATGTAAATGACAGATTATTAGAAATCTTTTCTTTTTTGTGAAATAAGAAAAAAAAGAAATCAATGAATAAATAACGAACGATAGATTTCGTAATATTGGGGTACATATCCGATAATGACCAGTACTGTGGGTATTATCCCAGAAATTATGTGCGGCCATTTGATATTTTTTTTATTTGCAAGCTAGATTTTCGAAATAAAAAGATACGTATACCGTAGTAAATTTAATAAAAAGAATATAATAATAATATGTAATAAAATTAATACAGGTAAATATAATTTATAAAAATAATTACCTTAATTCCAAAGACACAAATATTTAGTAACCCGGCCCACATTATGCAAATAAAAAAAAATAAAAATCCAGTTTTCGTTTTGTTTCGAATGAACTTGGAATTATCATAATATATGCATTGTATAAAACATAACGAGCATAGTGCACCAAATATCGTTTGTTGAATTATAAGAACGATTGAAAGTTCAGATACTATCGCGTAGATTATGTAAAACAAGCACGACGCAGACTTTTTACCATAAATGATTTGTAGGAAAGGTAATCATTATAAAATCGCTGAATTAATTAAATTTGAAAAATTATTAAAATGAAAAATTAATTAAATTTGAAAATTGAAACAAACCCAAAAAGACATCGTAAGAGGTGAGAGACCTATTTATACAAAAAATGGTGAGCACTAACGCAATATTAATGTAATGACAATTAACTTAAATAAATAATAGTCTAAATCCATTCAATAAATTCATAATTGTCGCGGCTGATGCTGAAACGTATGCTTTTTCTAACCTAAATACTAACCAACTCTAAAAAAAAGAAG